AGAGAGAGAGAGAGAGAGAGAGAGAGAGAGAGAGAGAGAGAGAGAGAGAGAGAGCACATTTGTTATATATAACCTAGACCAGCTTCAAACTTGCAATCCTTCTGCCTCAGCCTCCAGTTTGCTGAGATTACAGGTGCCTGCTACCATTCCCAGCTAGGATGTATTTGAATTCTTTAGTGTATGTTAAGTATAAAAGCTAAAGTTGCCCGAGTCATCTAACACTTAAAATCAGCATACTCAGGGCTGGAAAGATGCTCAGGGAAACTGGTTTCCTCTCCCTCATTCTTAAAGAGATTATTGTTGGTAGTGCTCCCTATGTCGCCCATGCTGGTCTTGAACCTAAAATCCTCGTATTTACTTCGGTCTTTATGATGATCTACAATTACACTAGTCTCCTGTAGCCAACAGGAACAATGACAAGGTGTAGGCATTCCGCAAAACCTGTTTGCTGTTGTTCTTTGCCAGAGAGTGTCATTTTCATGAGGAGTTTATCTACATGTTTCACTTGCCTCTAAAATTAAAAGACAGTTGCCAAGCAGTGCAGCATATGCCTTTAATCCCAGCACTCCAGGTGCAGAGACAGGCGGATCTCTGTGAGTTCGAGGCCAGCCTGGTCTACAGAGTGAGATCCAGGACAGCTAGGGCTACACAGAAAAACCCTGTCTCGAAAAAACAAAAAACAACCAAAACCCAAAACCAACTAAACAAAAAGACAGTAACTACTACTAGAGGATGTGTATGTACTTGCAAAAATAAAATAACTGTTAATGGAGTTAATGGAAAGAAGTGATAATTCTAATGACCTTGATTCTCTGGCAGCTGAGTGACGAGGGGCAAGAGAAAATTATATGCTGCAAACATTTTCCACACAACATATTAGACTGGACTCCAGGCACAGGCTGTAGCACTTGAGAGGTAGAAGCAGAAGCATCAGCGGTTCAAGGCCAGCCTCATCTACATAGCAAGTTAGAGGCCACCTTGGGATATATTAAGACCTTGCTCCAAAAAACCAAACCAAATACTAACAATAAATAGCCCCAAAGAAGAAAACAAATTCCATGACCTGTATGCTTTCAAACATTAACAAAATTTCTCTGGCATTTAAAATTTAGTGGGTTCTCAGGAGAGAAGGGAGACTTGTATGGTTTAAATACAAACAGTGGGCTTGGATTTTCTTGGTGTTCTGCTGTTTGTGAAGCTGTTTATGCCATTGTACCTCTCAGCTACTTCAAGACATCCTCTAAAGTGAGCATCCTGACAAATACTTCAGTTTGGTATTGAGAAGGGACCGTCACTCTTAGTTCCCACACAGGAATTTTCTCAAAAAATTAAAATTTTTTAAGCTCATACATATACTCCATAGATATCCTTAAAGAGAAACACATACAAACGCAGTGGTTCCTTGTCCACGGGGATAGGAAGTGACATTTCAAGACCTCCAAGCCTTAAAACCTTGGCTAGACCTGAGTGTGGCGGCTCTCATCTACAATCCTAGCCTTTGGCAGGACAGTAGGCAGTAAGTTTGTGTTTCTCTTGTTCAAGTATTTGTCATGATGTTCACTTTAGAGAATGTCCTGAAGTGAAGTGAGAGCTTTGGTTAGTTTTGTTAGGTTTGGGGACTTTGGGGACTCTTCTGACCCCTGCATCTACTGTGTCTCTTCACATACACATATCTGGGATCAACTTTATCCGATACAGTAGGAGTAGTCAGAGATTAGCAACAACAAATTATAACAATATACTGTGTGTGTGTGTGTGTGTGTGTGTGTGTGTGTGTGTGTGTGTGAGAGGGTTTCTTTATTGTAGCCTTTGCTGTCCTCGGACTCACTATGTAGACTAGACTGGCTGGGAACTCACAGAGATCCGCCTGACTCTGCCTCTTGAGTGCTGGGATTAAAGGCGTGTGCCACCCTGCCTAGCTTCAACAATATACTATTATAAAAAGTTATATTACTGCGGTCTTTTTCTCTTGAAAGAGTTAATATTTTTGGATCACAATTGACCAGTTAATTGAAACCATGGAAAGTGAAATGTAGATCAGGGAAGATAAACCTTACTTTTGTTTAGAGGTATACTTTTGGCAAATAAGGGAGAGTTATTTCTTGCACTTACAGCATAAATGATAACACAGATATTCATAAAAGTATATGATGGGAAAATAATAAGTCAAAATACTCACTGTCAAGATCAGCACACTTTAATTCATTATAGATATCATATGTGTTTAGATTCATCCCCAGTTTAGCTAAGGTGCTCATCAATCCATGTGAATCAATACAGCCAGTTTTATCCTTGGTGAAGTAGTTGTAAGCATTTTGGAAGGCTGAGGAGATGGAATTATGTTAGGACAGTTATTTAAGAAGAAACACAGTCAGGCATGGTAACTTCAGTCTACAACTCTAGTACTTGGAAGCTGTGGTGGGAAGATTATCTGATCATCCCAGGCCCACCTGGGCTAAACAGTAATGGCAAGGTCAGCCAGGTAGAAGTTGAGAAGGGGAGGGAGAAACATATATGCTAACAAGGCTAGGAGAAATCATACAGCCAATTGTGTTCTGAAAAAAACATGGAGAGAAGAATAATAGATTTTTTTTTTCTGTGTAACAGTCCTAGTTGTCCTGGAACTAGTTCTGTAGACTAGGCTGGCCTCGAACTCACGGAGATCCGCCTGCCTCTGCCTTCCAAGTGCTGGGATTGAAGGCATGTGCCACCACTACCCAGTGAATAATAGATTTTTAAAAAGACAGAAGGCCGTCTTTTCTTGGGATTTGAACTAGAATCAGATAGAACGCGTAGTAACTGGTAGGAAAACCAAATGTAGAGCCAGGTGTAGTGGCACATTCCTATAATCCATAATCCATAGTGAGTTTGAGGCCAGAATAGGCCACATCAGACCCTGTGTAGCAAGAAAACAAATATATGTATGTATACATACATACATACATACATACATATTCATACATATATATATACATACACATATATAATCTATTTTCCCTTTTGTTGCCATTACTTGGTCATTTGTCTCTACTTTGTGCTAAATATGTAATTATTTTAAATTTTAATTCTTTTTTACAATACCGGGGATTGGACCTCACACATGCTAGGCAACTGCTCTACTACTGACCTATATTCCTAGCTTCATTGTTTATTTCTATCAGTATAGACTCATAGATTTATTTATTTTATATTTTGGGCAAACATATCAACTTCTCAAATTGTTCAAATAAGTAGTGGAAGAGAGGGAGAATGTATGTATGTGTGTGTGTATGTATGCATGTAGGTGTATGTATGTATGTGACAGTGCATACATATGGAAGTCAGAGGATAACTGTAAGAGTCAGTTCTCTTCTTCCACTCTGTGGGACCTTGAGGTAGACTTCAGGTTTTCAGCAGGCAAAGGTGCTTCTCTCCCCACATCCTCCACCTCCTCTTCTTCTTTAGGTGTGAGTGTGGGGTATCCGTGTGTGTGTGTGTGTGTGTGTGTGTGTGTGTGTGTGTGTGGTGTAGGCACATGTGTATGTATGGGTATGCTCACCTCTGAGTGTAGGGCATCTGTGTGTGTGAGTGGTGTAGGCACATGTGTATGTATGGGTATGCTCACCTCTGAGTGTGGAGGCCAGGCATCCTGCTCTATCACATTCCACCTTATCCTTTCAGACAGGGTAAAGAAGGCTTTCTTGGACTGCTAGCCCCCAAAATCATTTCATGGAGACTTATTATTAATGATGAATGCTTGGCCTTACCTTAGGCTTGCTTCTAGCTTGCTCCTTTTTTAATTTAAGTGAGCCCATTTCTGTTCATCTATGTGCTGCCCTGAGGCTTGTTTACCTCATCTATATACTGTCCATCCTGCTTTCCGGCTTCCTCTGTGTCTGTCTGTCTGGCTCCTTTTCTCCCTGCCCACCAGCCCCACCTAGCTCTCCTCTGCCTAGCTATTGGACATTCAACTTTTTATTAGACCAATCAGGTGCCTTATGCAGGCAAGGTGAAACAGCAACACATCTTTACATAGTTAAACAATTATTCTGCAGCACAAACAAATGCAACACATCTTGACATAGTTAAACAAATATTCTAATCCACAACAACAGGGCCTTTTATTGAATCCTGGCATCCAGCAAGCTCAGCAATCTTCCTGTTTCCCCCACCTTGGTACTGGGGTGATAGTCATGCACAGCATTTTATGCCTGGATCTGAGTTCAGCTCCTCACGCCTGCATAGCAGGTGCCCCCACCTACAGAGCCGTCTCTCCAGCCCCCTGCAGGTTTTCTGGGGCATAACATTGTTCCTTTTTGTGGATAGAGTCTGTCCTTTCCCTGGAGCACTCTTCTGCATTCTTCCTGGACTTGCTCGTTCAGCTTTCTCTGGACTCCCTTCTTTGCCCCAGAAGATCAAACTGGGACACTACGTCATACTGGGACACCATGTCATGCTGGGACACTACATCATGCTCCCACAGCACTCTGTACTTCTCTCATATCCCTGTCATCGATAATTTTGTCCTTTAACTGTATTTTCCCTACATATTTCCTTCCAGGGCAGGAACATGTTTAATGTTCTTATATCTGGAGCACTGTTGGCTTAAATATATGTTTGCTGTTTGGATCAATGACCTGTAGTCAGTGTACCAAATTTCATCATTATCATTTTTTTGTCTGTCTCTAGGAAATCCTGGTATTTTATTTCCATTTTAATTTAATTTGGTCTTTTGAGAACAAAATTGACTTGGCTTGTCAAACACTATGTAGACCAGGCTGTCCTCAAACTTGTGGTCTTCTTGCCTCTAGAGGCCTCCCTAATTCTAGAATTATAGACACGTGTTACCACACTGACTGGTCTTGAGACTTTGTGTTTGTACTGTTCAATTTGCTGATTGATATGTGACCTTGGATTTGTTGTTAACCACCCTTATGTTATCTGGATAAGAATATTTGACTGGGGTTGGGGATTTAGCTCAGTGGTAGAGCGCTTGCCTAGCAAGGCCCTGGGTTTGGTCCTCAGCCCCGGAAAAAAAAAAAAAAAGAATATTTGACCTATCCAGGTGGTGGTGGAGCACACCTTTGATCCCAGCATTCAGAAACCCTGCCCTGAAAAACCAAAAATAAATAAATAAATAAATAAATAAATAAATAAAATATTTGACCAAGCCTGTTTCAATTCTTGAGAAATGTCAATATGAAAGTTATCCTCCTTCAATCTAGCAAATAGTTTATTTTTTATTTTTTGATACGTCCTAATATGTAGGGCAGACTGGCTTTGAATTAAGCACCAGCTTCCTGAGTTATAGGTGCGTACCATCATGTCTGGTTAGAAAGTTTATTTCTCCCCTCCACTTCCCCTCTCTTAAACAACAGGAGGATACAGATTCTCCCTGAAATCTCATCTGTGTACTACAGAAAGTCAGTGTGGGAGCTAGCTGGATGCAACGGCACAGGCCTTCAATGCCAGCACTCAGGAGGCTGAGGATATAGGACAGCTGTGAGTTCCAGGCCAGCCAGGGCTACACAGTGAGTTCCAGGCCAGCCTTAGACAGAAGAGGAAGATCCTGTCTCAAAAATAATAAAACAGGTTCACAGACACATGGAGCGGTTGTTATTAGATCCTTTTTTTGTTTGTTTATTTTTGAGACAGGGTTTCTCTATGTAGCCCTGGCTGTCTTGGAACTCTCTCAGTAGACCAGGATGGCCTTGAACTCACAGAGATCTACCTGGCTCTGCCTCCAGAGTGCTGGGATTAAAGGCGTGCACCATCCCTACCCTGGCTGTTGTTAGGCTTTAACATTTAGAATGGTTTTCATTACCTTCCAGTTGTGAAGGGCTCAGCTTCGATTCTTTGTGTTGTAAATAACCTGGAAGATATGCTCTATCTCTGAGAAGAGACACAAAAAGCATAGGATTTAACACAGGAGTGCAACCTTTGACTTTTGCTGATGATAATGGCGGCGAGCATCACAGTATGCCCAGAGTCACAGTGCTTAAGCAGAGCTGTCTCTCACTAATATCTGCCCGAAAGGCTGAGAAGACAGGACAACTGCAGCCCACCCTGTGTTTTCCAGTGTTCTTACCTCTCCTAAAAAACAAAACTACCCGATTTCCCTCATTTTACAAAACAGACATTCTGGGTGATTAAAGGGTTTGTCCAAAGTCAGGCAGGTAAGTAAGTGTGAGAGGAGGTTTTGATTGCAAAGTTCCAGGCTGGAAAACTGAAGCTCTTACTATTGTTAGAAGCTCGTTTACTATTGCTTAAACGTTGATTTGGAAAACAATGTTGTGCTGACTACCTGTGCAGAGAAACTTGTGCATCTATCACTTTATAACTTTAATCGCCAACATGTATGTTTAGTATATATGAGAGAGACTAAGTAAATGATACAGACAGAGACAGACAGAGACAGAGGACACTTCTGGAAAGTTTGGAGCTCTGGGTGTCTTTTTACATCCTCAGGAAAGTGAAATCTGGAGAAGGAGGAAAAATATTAATACTTCCAGGAGGCTTTGTGTAAATTTGCAATAATTTATGAACATACACAAGTAGCTTTGCTTATAATACAGCAAGTGGAATGTAATTATTTTTGATTAAGTATAATTCAGTAGCAAATTAAGTAATCATAAAAGTTTTTGAGACAGGATCCCATGTAGCCTACATGGCTGAGGATGACCTTGAACTCCTGATCCTCCAGCCTCCATCTTCCTGCATATTGGGATTATAGGCATGTGCCACTACACCTAGCTCCTATAAATTTATTTTAGAAGTCTTTAGTTTTGATACTAATAACAAAAGTTTTAAGAATACGGAATCTCTTACTTTTGTGGTTTTATTTTTATTAAAACATCGACAAAGATTTATTCTATAATTTATGTATATGAATGTCTTGCCTGCCTGCATGTATGTATGTGCACCATGTGTATGCTTGGTACCCAAGGAAGTCAGAAGGGACATCAGGCCTTCATGTGGGTGCTGGGAACTGAGCCCAGGCCCAGGAAGAGCAGCCAGTGTTCTTAACTGGTGAGCCGCCTCTCCAGCCCCAGTTTTTGTGGTTTTACGAGAAACAGTAGATATCAGTAAAACTAGAAGGAATAATAAATATTATGGCTAAACAATAAAACCATTATGATTTACTTTACACCTACTAGAGCATTAGATTCAATTTATTTTTAGAGTAGCCTGGGATAGAAGAAAGTGGTGAAGTCTAAAGGTGTCCTGTTTGCAACTTTTTGGCATGAAATTGTATCTAACTTGTTTTATTTTCCCAGCTTTTACTAACACGATTTCTTTGTGTGTGTGTGTGTGTGTGTGTGTGTGTGTGTGTGTGTGTGTGTGTGTGTGTATGTGTTTTCCCTTTCCTAACTTGATCTTCTGTAGACTCAGGTCTGCTCTTACTAAGGTTACTATCTATGTGTTGCATTTCCAAATAAAAATAGTTTATTTTTGTATGACGTGAAAGATGTAAGCAGACACAGAAATATGTCAAAACCCAAAGCCAAGCAGAAGGCCAGGTGGACAAAGATTTTTGCTAATTACAAGTAAAAAAAACCTGTGGAGCCAGGTGGTGGTGTCACACAGTTTTAATTCCAACACTCAGGAGGCAGATGCAGGCAGACCTCTGTGAGTTTGAGACCAGCCTGGTCCACAGAGAAACCTTGTCTCGAAAACCAACCAACCAACCAACCAACCAACCAACCAAACAAACAACAAGAACAAGAAAACCTGTGGAACCATTTCAAACTTCATCTTGGACTAAACCCCACAGAAAGTCTATTTTATACTGTTTCAAAGGATCATGGAACTTCCCATTTGAAACAAAAACCAGCCTCACCTCTCCCCTACAGTGGGGATTCTGTTGGCCTGTGGTTTTAGTCTTTGTTGGATTATTTTCAATGTCAAAGAACTCACCATTTCCAAAGGAGACAGTGATAACAAGGGTTTGGCTGTTATGCAGTTATTTCCCTACTTCTTCCTTTGAAAATGTCAGAAATTTATTGCTTAGCAGTGGTAAAGTTGAAAACACTTTCAAAGCGGGAATGAAAATGGGCAGTTGGGAGAGAGGGTTTTTTTTCCCTTTTATTGTGTGACAAAATGTATCTTGGGGTCTCACTTTCAGCCAATTAGTGATTATTTATTAGAATTTATTGGCAGCTGATTGAGCAAAAACATTGCTACTAATAGGAGAATCTCCCTTGTATCGCATTAGGGCTCTTCATGGCTAATTTACTGGACTTCATTTGGGAGAAAGGGGATGAAAATTGTGTTTTTCTAGCCAAAAAGAATGTTAATTTTTTTTTTATTGCAAGAAAAATCTTCCCATAAGCCAACAGAATGATACAGTGGGAAGGTGCTTGCTGCCAAGCCCGAGGATCTGAGTTTGATTCCTGGGACACACAGAGTGGAAGGGGAGACCTGACTTCTGCAAACTGTCCTCTGACCTCCATCCCACATACATGCTGTGGTGTATGCATGTGAGTACACATACAAGCTGTCCTCTGACCTCCATCCCACATACATGCTGTGGTGTATGCACGTGAGCACACATACAAGCTGTCCTCTGACCTCCATCCCACATACATGCTGTGGTATATGCATGTGAGCACACATACAAGCTGTCCTCTGACCTCCATCCCATATACATGCTGTGGTGTATGCACGTGAGCACACATACAAGCTGTCCTCTGACCTCCATCCCACATACATGCTGTGGTGTATGCATGTGGGCACACATACAAGCTGTCCTCTGACCTCCATCCCATATACATGCTGTGGTGTATGCATGTGGGCACACATACAAAAGAAATAGAATATAAGGAACTCTTTACTCAGATGTTTTAAGTAACTTTACCATAGAACAGAATAGTCTTCCTTGTTTCATCACAGTCTCTGTAATGTAATTTGGACATTCATTACCCAAAGATTCTGTATAGTCTGCTCACACTTCATCACCTACCTCCTGTGAAAGAGAGGTGCTTTCAGGGGCTTCAGCTTCAGTGTGGATTTAAGTCCTGAAACTGCCATTTGGCCAGAGACTCTTTCTGGAATTCAGAAGATACAATAAAGGATCAATCCACAGATTCATTCATTTATTCATCCATCCACCCATTTATTTATTTATTTCCTTTTTTTTTTTTTTGAGACAAGATCTCACTTTGTAGTTCTGCTGGCCTAGAACTCAGTCCTTCCTGTCCGAATCTTCCCAGTACTAGAATTGCAGGCAAGTGCCACTATATCTGTTTATTCATTCATTTCTTTGCATTCTTTCCTGCTCAAGGCCTGGGGCTAAAATGTTTAGGGTTTCAAAGCATGGCATCATATGCAAATCCAAGCTAGAATTATGCAAGATTGGAGGGCTGTGTGGAAAGGTCCTTTTACTGTGCCAAGATCCATGAGCAAAATTTCTTGTCATAGCTCAACCTTTCAAATAATGTCTCTTTGATCTTATATAAAATTAAATGCCGGGGCTTCAGAGATGGCAGCTCAGTGGTTAAGAGCTCTTACTGCTCTTTAAGAGGAACCAGATTCCCAGGCTACATGGCTGCTCACAACCATCTTTACAGTCCAGTCCCAAGGGATCCAGCACCCTCTTCTGGCCTCCACGGCCATTTGCACACACATACACACACATAAGTAAAAACATAAGTCTTTAAAAAAACTAAATGTCAGGCAGTGGTGGCACACGCCTTTAATCCCAGCACTCAGGAGGCAGAGCCAGGTGAGTTTGAGGCTAGCCTGGGCTACCAAGTGAGTACCAGGAAAGGCGCAAAGCTACACAGGGAAATCCTGTCTCCAAAAACCAAAAACTAAAACCAAAACAAAGACAACCCCCCTAAAAAACAAAACAAACAAAATAAATGCTAAGTAAAATAAGCCAGGCACACAAAGAGAAATATTTTCTCACTTGCATGTAGAATCCCAAAAAGTCAAACCCACTGAAGTATGGAATGGTGGGAAGGGGGTGTGTACAGGAAGAGGTTGGGTAAGGAGCACAAACCTTCACTTATGAAAGAGGAGTAGCTTGTACAGACTGAGTGTATAACACCATGGCTAGGTAGCACTACTTTTCAGAGTACTTGAAATTTGCCCCATAATAACTATGTAAAGGTGACTGGTATGTTAGTTTGATTGTAGTAATTATTTTACAATGTGTACATATAACAAACCATCAAATTGTATTCCTTAACTAATTAAAAAATAGCACAGGATACAAAGCATGTGGAAATATATAGGAAAAATTAAAGACAAAATTTATTCTGAAACATTTCACGTCACAATTGGCCAAGAAGAAAGTATTAAAGCATCCCTAAACTAGCTGCTTACTTGTTTCAGTCTCAGGACACTCTACTAAGTACATTTTCAGAGGCTTTCCTTCTGGGACCCATATCCCTGCCCACTGCTTTCTCATAAAAGCAGAAAGGATAGCCTTTGCACAGACGCTTTCTTTCAATACTATGGCTTCCCCTGGCCCCCTGCAGAGTCTCAGAACCAGGCTGCAGACCAGGGGCTGGGAGGCAGTCATCCCCTTTGGGTTCTTAATCACTCCAGTTAGCTTTCCAAACTCTACCCTGGATCAGGACGCTCACTGACGGGGCTAGCAGACAGGGCTGCTAGCTTGGGAATAATGAATCTGCAAGTACTCTTAAACCAGGAAAAAAAGAAAAAACACATTTCAGAATGTTTGGTTAGAATTCATTCTCCCCAGGTCATTGCCTCAGAACCTGGAAAGCAGCTTTCTAAAGAACTCAATTACACAATGTTCAGAATCTAGAACCCACCATAAAGCTAGGAACCTCAGAGGCGCTCAACAATGTCGACACTGGAACGGTGCTTTGAAATTGCCCCCATGGCTCAAAATAATCATTACTTAAAAATAAATACCTTCAATTTCTTATATAGTGGATAGATATTTTTTTAAAAAAGAACTCAGCATAGAATCATACAAAATTCTGACATTACCTACTTTTGAGCTGTGCTACTAACCAACATTAGCAACCCACCAGCCTTATCTGAGCCTTCAGATCAGGAATCCAATAAAGGCTTTGTTCCATCACACAGCTGTGACCTCACTCACTGCTCAGGGAGATGGGGACCTGCAGGCTCCTCCCAGGGTTACAGCAAATGTGTACTCAGTGGGGTTCACTCAGTACCCCTGTGGTACACGAGGAAATGAATTACAGAATCATAACAATTTGAGCCTGTTGAGACTTTAGAGGACTTTTTTTTTTTTTTTGCTTCAAATTATATATTGGTATATTTTCTTTAGTCTGTTAAAACTTACTTAAGTAAAGCATTTTACCCAGGTCCTTTGATTGGGGAGTAATTAAAAACCATTTCATTAATTTTTTAAGTACAGAAAGGGAAGAAAAAAAATCCCATGTGCTTATACTCTTCTCTTTTAAGTTAAAAAATTCTAATACCTGTGTATATATGTGTGTATCTATGCACGTGAGTCCAGGTACCCACAGAGGCTAGAGGTATGGGATCTTCTGGAGCTGGAGTTACAGGCAGTTGAGAACCATGTGATGTGGGTGTTGGGACTTGAACTTGGGTCCTCTAGAAGAGCACCGAGTGCTCTTAACTGCTGAGCCGTCACTCCAGCCCACTTGCATTCTTTAATAGTGAGAAAAGTAAGTTAAATAGAGCAATTAAAATTGCCAGGCATGGTGATGTGTGCCTATAATCTTAGTAGTTGGAAGGCAGAAGCAGGAGGACTGTGAGTTTAAGATTCTGTCTCAAAACAAAAATAAAAAAGGAAAAGCTGACAATCAGGCAGAAACTATAATATCATGTTTTGACTTTTCTCATAACATTCAAACCCTCGAAGCTAGTGGTGGCCCATACCTTTAATTCCAGCACTTGGGAAGCAGAGTCAGGAAGATCTCTGTGTGTGTGTGTGTGTGACCAGCCTGGTCTACCTAGGAAGTTCTAGGTCAGTCAGGGCTACAAAGTAAGAACTCATCTCCAAAAACGAAAAAACTAAATAAATCAAACCAAAACTCCCCCCCAAACAAGCAAACAACAACAACAACAACAAACGGCTCTAGCACATGGGGTAGGATGGCCTGTAATCCATGGTGGATAAACACAGACTCTGGCTTTGAAAAATGCTTCAGGCTTTACTCAGTGGCAGTGTTTCTGGTTGTTTCCTATTCTAGGTCTGACTGTTTATTATTTAATACCAATAGTTATTATATACCAATAATTATTAAATAATAATTATTAAAAATAATTATTTATGCTGGGCAGTGGTGGCGCACGCCTTGAATCCCAACACTCAAGAGGCAGAAGCAGGCAGATCTCTGTGAGTTCGAGGCCAGCCTGGTCTACATAGTGAGTTCCAGGAAAGGTGCAAAACTACACAGAGAAACCCTGTCTCAAAAAAACCAAAAAAAAATATTTAATTATTTTTATTTTTATTATTTTATGTGTATGAGTGTTTAGCCTGCATGAATATTTGTGTACTACATACTTGCCTGTTATCTAAGAGGTGGTGGGCCTCCATGTGGGTGCTGGGAATCGAACCTGGATCCTTTGCAACATACAAGTGCTCTTAACCACTGAGCCAATTCTCCATCTCCTATTTTATTATTTTAGGATAATCCTAAAAATTACTTTACGTGTATAGGTGTTTTGGCTGACTAGGTGTCTGTGACATGTGTGCTTGGTGCTCTGAGAAGCCAAAAGGGGGCACCAGACTCCCTGAAAGTTACAGATGGTTGTGGGCCACCATGTGGGTTCTGGGAATCAAACAGTACTTTTCTAGAAGAACAGTGTAAGCTTTTATCCGCTGAGCCATCTCTCCAGCCCTAAACTGTGGTTTCTTTAGAGAGGGAACCTCATTATGCTTTCCTAGGCTGGCTTTAAATTCATGAGCTCAAATTCCTCCTGCCCCAGCCCCACAAATATGCAGGACTACAGGCATGGGCCAAGTCCCTAGATAGAAGTAAAAACTCCCAATTGTTATTTATTATTAATTGTGCTAAAATCTATATTATATGGAAGCAACTACTTTCACTTCCATTTTTGTGTGCGCTGGGATCAACACCAGGGTCTCATGTAGGCTAACAAGTGCTCTTCCTACCCTAAAGCTACCCCCTGTTCCTAGATTAACAGTTTTAAGTACATAGTTCAGTATTGTTAATTGTCCTCATTTTGTTACACACAAGGCCCCAAATCTATGTTCATTAGATAACAGCTCTTTTCCTGCTCCTTCCAGCTCCTCATAACCACCCTACATTCTATGTCTGTGAATCTGACCACTCTAGAGATCTCCTATATGTAGAAGAATATAGTAGTTATTTTTTGCGATTGGTGCATTCACTCCATAATATCCTTGAGGTTCATCTGTGTTGTGGTGTGAGTCACAGATAATCTATGTGAGCACCACGTTTTGTTTCCCCATTCATCACTGATGGACACTTATATTGCTCTCTCTTCTGACTGCTATGGACACATGGACCACGACTGACTCCTCATAGATCAACTTTTACTTATTTATTTTTAGATAGGGTCCTGAATTTAACCCTGGCTGACCTGGAACTGACTCTGTAGACCAGGCTGGTCTCAACACAGAGCTTTGTCTGTCTCTGCTTTCTAAGTGCTTGATTTATTTGATTTATTCTTTTTTTTTTTTTTTTTTTTTTTTTTTTTTTTTT